ATATCATTGTTTAATCATTTAAAATCTTTAAAAGGGGCTTGTGCTATCATAAAGTTTAATATTTTGTAATATAATGCAGTGATGCATTAACTTTTAAGTGTGGCTCCAAAGGAATCCAAGGAAACACACAAGCACTTACAGTTATATCCATCATGATGTCTTCTTCTAAAACCGTCTGGACTCTGTCTCTGCGTTTAAGAGAATCATAACAATATGTAAGCAAGCAAGTAATACATCTATTCACAAATAACTTATCATTCAATAGTTTCTGGGTCGGTTTGATTTTGATTTTTTTGTTTTTTAATATAATTATTTTCTATTTAAATATATTTTAAAGTGTAATTTATTCCTGATGAATTTATAATGATGCTGAAAATTCCTGAATTTTCAGCATCATTACTCCAGTCTTCAGCATCACATGATCCTTCAGAAATCATTTCAATATGCTGATTTGCGGCGAAAAAAACATTTCTTCTTATTATTATTATCAATATTGGAAACAGAAAGTTCAAAAGTATAGAATTTACTTGAATTATTATTTTTTTGTCAGATTATAAATGTATTTACTGCAGCCTTTGATAAATTTAATACACCCTTGCTGAATAAAAATATGAATATCTTAAAAAAAATAAAAAAATAATAAAATAAAAACGGTTACCAGTAGTGTAGCCTACAGTAAGTCATGTTTGAGTGTGTTGTACCTGTATAAGGAGGTGATGAGTCTCCAGGTCACCATCTCTTGCTGCAGCAACCAGGTAATGCTGACCGTCTTGGAGGATTTCTGCTGACCAGGGGCTGAACGGAGAACCAATTTCTGCAACATACTGACCTACAATACAGGTGAAGTCTTGGTAAGGAGTTTGTTTTCAGCTTGCCATCCCAACATTTAAACAATTATACTATTTTCCTGAGTAAATTTTAAATACTCTAGCTGTGTACCTTGTCCTGACAGAGAGCCTCATACTCCTCTAACAAATCAAACACGGCTGTGGACGCATGGCGCAAATACGACTGCAGAAATTCAGGTAACAAACTGAGAGCCGCTGGGAGAAAAAAAGGAGGGAGAGAGAGCTGTAAATCAACTTATTTACATAAATTGATCATTGAATTTGTGATGATTTTTATGAATTTTTACCAGCCTCCCCGGGATCATCTTCCTTCAGCATGAGAGCGCTCATGTTGACATCTTCAGTAAAGCTGGTGTCCACCATTCCAGACAGAGGAGACGGGTAAAGACTGTTCGTCCAATCACTGTCATCCAAGTTCTGAAGTGTCAACAAGCAAGAAAGAGTTACCACTGAAATCGTACAAGCGAAATATATGAGGTCAGGATTAATAAAGGCTGTTGAATTGGTGTCACTCACCATGCTCAGACTGCTTTTGGTACGGGGTGTGTTTAAGTAGCGAGGAGTTCTGCTTCCTGTCCCGAGGATGGCCGACACATCTGGGTTTCTGAGGGCACTTCTTGGGGTGTCTGCAAATGATATAAAAAACATCTGCACATCAATACAGATCATTCTTCACAAAACATAACACTTGGAAAAGAACAGTAAACGGGAAAAATACAGCACGATGAAAAAGTGCCACAAGTGCACCGCAGGTCATGTGACAAAAACCAACCAATCAGCTTCAGCCGTGTTTACTACGTCCTTGAAGGATGGGGTTTTCTATTCTCCATAAATCTAGCAGCAAAGCTACAGCAAGAGATTTTCAGTGAAGGAAATCCATTAATCCTTTGCTGAGAAGAGTTGTCCACGCATTTTTTATACGCGACATGAAAGTCCCCTAACATTCGATTCTGATTGGAAGCTCTCAACTCTTTTACTGTGGTGCTGTAGTGTAAGCTGGGTTTACTCACATGTCTGTTTATGGAGAGATCCAGGTGTTTGACGCAGTAGGGGTCTAGCAGGGGTCGTGCTGGTGCCAGGAGTTTCATCCTGTGCCAGTGGGACTGAATACACCGTCAAAGAAACCAGAGCATATAAGTGGGCAGTCGTGGCCTAATGTTAGAGAGTCAGACTGGTGGTAACCCAAAGGTTGTGGGTTTGATTCTTAATACCATCAGGAAATGACTTGAGGTTCCCTTGAGCAGGCCACCTAACCCCCAATCGCTCCCTGGATGCCACTGCTCACTACCATCTGTGTGTGTTCGCTACTCCTAATGTGTGTGCACTGACTTGGATGGGTTAAATGCACAGGACAAACACAGAGTATGGGTTACACATGTCACTTATAAAGGATATATGAAGTGGCTTTAACTCTGTCTATTTATAAAGTGAATGACCATTGTGCTATCATATGACAACAAAACTCTGAACTAGGCTCAGCTGGATAATGACACCATTAATTTCTTTATGCCTTCTGGCAAAATGAGCAATTCTGTAAAGCTGCTTTGAAACAATTTGTACAAGTAGTATTGCATTCAATTACTATTGTAAAAAAAACAATATATAAATAAATGATTTCTGGTATTTGATCTTGGTAAGGATACATGCAACTTTTTTGTGTGAACTCTTTCTGCGGGCAGCCCGGGTCACCTCAGTGTCCCGAACAGCTGGACTCAACCAGGTCTGATTCCTGCACAGGATAGACACTTTAATTACATGTAAAATATCATAACATGTTACTAAGCATAGAGTTATTGTGTTGCATTAGCCTATGTCACATGAACACAAATACAGTCAACAACAAATTTGTTTAAAACCAATCATAAAAAACAGATGTAAAATGACTTCACTAAACCGAATAAAACCTCAAACTTCAAGTAAAACCCAATCAAATAGCGAATACAGATAACAATTTGTTATGAAAGTGTCAACACAAAAACTACAACTACTATTATGTTTTGCTTACCGTAAAGCGTTGTGATTCGACAGGGTGTTTACATAAAAATAACTTTACACAAATTTACTTGTAAAAACAACAGCTAATAAAATTCTACTAGCATTTTCTTTTCTGTTGTGTGTCATGAGTGTTTACAGTGTAAATGACATGTGGTATCGTTCTCACAACAATAAGGGGTAACATACGAACCAGCTAAGTTATAGTAGCCAAAATAATCATATAAAATTTATACACGAATAATGTCATAGTAAAATATAATATTTACCACTCCATAATGTTTTAAATTCACGATTGCTAGCTAATGATGCTAGCGCACTTGATTTTGCGCCTTCACTTCTGAGGTTTCTTCTTCTTCTGAACATCGCATGTTATTGCGCTCATAACACTGCCGCCTATTGGAGCGGATGAACGAGTAATTACACATTTATCAACACCTGTCATGTACCGCCACCTACTGTCCGCAGAAGGATTTACATGCACAGCAATGTGTCTTTCTATTTGTTCAATTAAATCACGTAATCTTTTGAAATGTATAGCCTATTGCAACATTTAATCTTGTCGTAATTATATTGCATTAAGATTGGTCTCTCTTTAAAAAAAAAATATTTTCACCCTAATCCAATCCAATGTATCCATTACTTTAGTGGCACATGACGTGTGTGATGAGATTATTTTTTAATTTATTATATAAATTGAAATGCCACGTCTCATAAGTGGTACTCGGTGGCTATTTAACGGATTATATGTACAAATGTCACGTAGTTATTAATGCCTCTATTAATGTCATTGTCAAGTAATTGTTTCTCGAATTAGTAGACCAGTTGTCACACGAACTCATAATTCATTTGCAAGGTCCATTTTCTGACATACCTTGGCTACAACAGAACAGCATTGTGACGGTATTCCACTGACCCAACAAAGCAAGCCGGTCCGGTTAAGTTTCAAGTTTGATTTTTCTGTTGAAGAATCAAGAATACAAGGACTCCTCTGTGTGATCTAAAACTTGAAAACGAAGCAGAGCCGTTCACCATGAACTACAACAAAACAATATGTCTCAAACAGAAAGAATTTAAAGATTGCGAACACAGCTCAGGTCCAGAATGTAGTGAGATGCAGTCTGTTAACTATTCTCTAACTACGTGTATTCTAATTAGCAAAAACGTTTTCAGACAAACATCACATTTGGCTTTTGTAAGGGGCTGCATCCGATATCGAATACTTCAATATAGCTAGTGGGTAGGCTATGTGACAAAAGAAGGCTGTCCGAATCCACAGCCAATAAAAGTGTAGGCAAAAAGTACCTGTATGCTCTTCTACTTCTGGCGAGATTCTGAAGTGTGCATATGATGGACACTTTTACTGTCCCATGATGCCACGGGAGAGGATTTGTGAACGGCAGTGAAGCGATGCAACTGATGCTGTAGGTCACGTGATAATGACAGCAAGGGGAATGTAAGGCCCTGTCGCAAATAGCACACTTCATGCAGACTTTCGGTCTCATGGACTTAAATTGCGTGTGCTCGCAGAGTCTAGGAGTCTGTCCCATTCCCATTTAGCATTTTGAGGCTCTGGAGTATGCTCAGCAGCGCTCCGTTTGTACCCTTGAAGCGGTCTTCCGCGAACAAACAAGTCAAGCCCAGCTAACATAAATTAACGCAAAAGTAACTTAACGCATTGCTCTCCATAAAAAGTAACTAACACAATTAGTTATTTTTTTAGGGAGCAATGCAATATTGTAACTGTAATTGTTTTTGAAAGTAACTTTGCTCAACACTGCATGTGACTGAAGACTGATGTTCACACACACATGCAAACACACACACACACACACACCTACCTGAGGTAATTTGATGATATTTGGTACACATTCTTCAAGCTACTTCCGCACCTGGTAATCTGACACCATAATTTTCACACATAAATGACAAAGATAAATATCATGTTGTCTTTTTCAAAATTGACCAAAGTTCAACTTGTGGAGTTACTTTTTGTTTCTTTTGATGTAATTATGTCACCGATAACCAGCGTACACTTCAGTGTCTCCATTCGCATAAAGACCGTTTAACCAGTTCTGGCTACATAATCACAAGTTGTGCAGCAGGATATCAGCGCAGAGAAGATCGACAATTACGAAAAACACTTACAATTTACTTGAATACTTTACACCATGTCAAGGTTTTATTTGACAGTATTTCAGTAAATATCATACAGTAAACAAGAGCTCTGCAAAAGTAAGTATATATCCATTGAGTTGCATTTCATAAAAATAGTAGCTCACTTACAGTTTTTGTGACTAGGTCATAGTACATAGTGTCATATTTATCATTTTTATCTGTACAGGGTAAACCGCACTGTTTTTGAAAAGTTCTACACAGTGATACAGAACCCCTTAAGGGCATTGCGTTGCCACCATCGCTCCACCGATAAATCATCTCATTTTAAATCACATTATTTATCACGTTGAATCATTTTATAGTCTCTTCAGCATTCGGCAAACTCGAGCCAAATTATATGGAAAAGCAGTGCCAAAGCACTGACACTATTCTCTCTCTTTCTAAACAAACTTGCTACTCTACAAAATGAAAACTCTAAGGCCAGAAACATTGTCTAAAGTACATGAATGCCAATGCTGCTAAATACACAAGCCAATCACCCTTTTTCGTGTTATGTTCCAAAATGTATTAGAATGCAATTCATAACATGACACGTTCTTAACGCGGTATTAGCATAAATTAGAGTCAGTTTTCACTTTAAGGTCAACTTTTGAAGCTAAAATTTCAAAACTTTCACTTTCAAAACAAGCAACACATTTACAACGCATTGTTCAATAGTACAGATATTTAAGGTAACTGTCGGCTAATTGACTACAGAGGTTTGTTAGCATTTGTATGCTAATGACGTATGCTTGTAAGGATGTAGCCAAACAGCTAACATTAGTTAGTTAGCATTAGCATACTTGCATAGAGTACGTTTCTGGCCTTAAGATGCCTTGATCCTGATTCGTTCAACTCCAGTAATTTTGTACTTTAAACCAAATTTCTTTCTAACACTATGGAGAGACATCAAAGCAATCCAGCTCATTCTTATGCACACACAATCTTTACTGGTACTCTATTGAAAATACATTTGCTTTGACAATGTCTGTCTGGGATATCTAAGGTTGTATCACTCGGAAATGAATAGCCAAGCACATTGGAGTGCTTCAATTAATTTATCTTTATCTGAGAAATATTAGCACTATCTTAATGAATAGATCATTGTTGGCTCTCCTTGTCATCTACAACAGCTGTCAAAGAGCATCAGTAGAACCAGTCATCGCTTTATTTCTTTGGGAGATGAACATAATAAAGACAATAGTATGACAATGGATAGAACAGATTAGGTCTTGTCTGGGGTCCTTTACACAGGAACTGGAGTTCACATAGGTATATATTTATTAAAATGAACAAAATGATTAAAGTAATCGTAAATCTTTTTCTTACAGTATCGCGTGAAAAATACACAATGAAGCACCATTTGGAGTCTTGATGTGTTTGTTCTTTTTTAAAAAAAAAGTAATTTCTGTGTCATTTTTGTTCATAAAATCGATTGAAAAATAAAGACACTCCCTCAAAATCATGCAATCGGCTGTGGCGAGGCTGTTTTGTCAGCCCAGTTTTGCAGTTCTGTTTGATGCCACTAGTTGCACAGAAATTACCTGGTCTATTGAAAATGGTCTATTTATTAATTGCAGTTACATTAATGAGAATGTAATTCACAAAAATGTAAATTTTGAAAGAAAAATCAAATACACTGCAGGATAAGGATGTATACTGAGGCCCAGGTGTAACCTAAAGTTTGTTCGGTTTCAATTCAACATTCCTGCTGATTACATTTTAAGCCCTGGTATTATTAGCTCTTTCACATGACTCACATCAACGTTCCCCAATCCATTATATTCTATGGAGCAAAGCATCAAGATAGAGTATTAAAGGATTAGTTCACTCAAAAGTGAAAATTATCCCATAATTTACTCACCATCAAGCAATCCTAGGTGTATATGACTTTCTTTCAACCAAACATAACCAGAATTATATTAAATATCCGGACTCTTCCAGGCTTCATAATGTGAGTGAATAGTGACTGAGATTTTGAAGGGATGTGTTTTTGTGGAAAAAAATATCCAGATTTATAACTTGCGAGTCTATGCGGAAGAGTGACCTCTGACTCGACGTATGACGTAGGATGTAGGATTAGCATAAGCATAGTAAACAAGTCTCGCAGTTCAAACAACCAGGGCTGAGGAACAAACTCCGACATTTCTCTTTAAAAATGATCTTTTTAAACTTATAATTCCTGACCAGTGTTTTGTTTTGCTCCATCCTCTGCGCTTCTGCGTTCGCTTCGCTTCAGAAGGCCTTTATTAACCCCCTGGAGCCATACGTATTACTTTTATAATGAATGGATGTGCTTTTTTCAGCTTTAAAATCTCAGGCGCTGCTGCTCATTCCCATTATAAAGCTTGGAAGAGCCAGGATATTTTTTTAATAAAACTCTGATTGTGTTTGGCTGAAAAAGGAAGTCATACACAACAAGGATGTCTTGAGGAAATTAAAAAAGTTATTATTTTTTTGAGTGAACTAACCCTTTAAGTCCCATTCACAGCTATAACAATCATAACTATGCTAGAGTTCACACCAACGCACGATAGTTTAAGAGAAATATTATAAAAACACACTACAGTTTTATCGTCTACTGTGTTAAATTGCTTGAACTCTGTAAATTCAGGTGGATTCTGATTGGCTGTCAATGTTTTTATCATTCATCAGCTGGAGAGATTTTTTTTCCCCAAGCAAATTCAATGATATTTCTCTTCTCTTGTTATAGTTTTGATGCGGACTTCCCTATTCTCATAGAATTCGAAGAATTATTAAGACTTTATAATTCTAGTTATGGTTCTTGGTGCGTAGAGGCCTTTAGCCACCGTGTTCCATGCAGATGTATAACATAACACTCAAAGTTCAAACTATTTCAACTTAGACCTCATTTTCTATCAATTTTTCAAAGCGCAGCCAAAGAAACCCTAAAGAAATTCCAATGGCTGTGACCTAATAGATTCTTTGTGTTTTCAGTTAGCCTCCACTTAGCACGATAACGTCTTAGCTTACTAGATAAGCTAGTAGAGATTGAGAGACTGTGTCTATATAGATAGGCCTACATGAAGTTACAGTATCCCCAACCCAGTGTTGAAGGTGAGTGATGACATTTGGAAAAAAAAGACAATGCATGACAGAAAAGCAAACGTAACCTTTTTCATTTGCTTTCACAATTTGCTATTGGCAAGGAAAAATCAACCTTTTGTGAAGAGGTTCATGTGAAAGAGACTTACCATCACACAATATTTTATATAGGGAATATGTTTATAAGCAAATCTTTCTAGCAGGATTTGGGGAATTAATTTCCTCAGAAATATTCAATGAATATCATGGATGCACAGCATTTCCTCTGCAAAGTACTGCATTCTATATACAGTATATGTCTATTTAAAGACAAAGTGCTCAACAAACATTTGAACTTCTGTCAGAGATATCATTAATAAATATCTTCACTTCTCTTAGAAGACTGCCAACTCTATATCTATCTATGTACGAAAATAGCTATCAATTTTATATTGATATATATATATACTGTATATGTATATATATATATATAGTGAACATAAACCAGCCTCTCAGTTGATTTAGACACCAATCAGCATTCAGAGATAGGGATGCAACAACCTACTCATTCAGTTTAACAGAACAATAGTCAAATTAATTTATTGCACCCTACGTTTTTTTTTTTTTTTTTTTTTTTGTCTTGATGTCATTGCCTAGGATTTGGTGCTCAAATAAAGCATCAAGTGGTCGGCATAAGGCAGGTGTGTCCAATCCTGTTGTTGGAGGGCCAATGTACTGAGGATTCATCTCAAAACCTACCCAAAAAACACTTACCTGGAGATTTCTAGTCATTCTGAAGACATTGATTAGCTGGTCAGGAGTGTTTCATTAGGATTGGAGTTAAACTTAGCAGGACAATGGCCCTCCAGGATTGGACACCCCTGGCATAAGGCACTCTGCCCAAATCAAATCCTTTCTATATTTCATCGAAACCATCTTGGGATCCTTCAAATTGCTTTGTTCGTGTAGACAAGTAAAGGGAGAATAGACTGAACTAGTGATGACAGAGTCAAGAGAAGGTCAAAGCCCACTGGCTCCTTTGGAAATTAACAGAGCAGCTGAGCAATCAGTGGTCTCAAGGGGTGCTCACACTGATAGCAATTTTCAGCAACTGCAAGTCATTCATCATCAGTGAGGGTTGGCGATTTTAAGAGACACAATCGACCGTTGCCATTGAGATCTTGAACTGGAGGTGGCGACTACCAATGTCAGTGTAGACAGTGTAGGTCATGTGATCGGTTTCCTTTTACAGTTCGATTTTGAGTTGAGTAGGAACACCTACTAGCAACTACTTGAGTTTAAATCGCTGTCAGTGGGAACGCACCTAAGAGTGGAGTAGGAATGAATTCTAGATTACACTCTTCTAACTTACACCATGTATGATGTCAATATTCCGGTATGGGGTCACAATGGTGTATAAAGACCATATTTACAATATGTCTCACATATACGTAGTCATATAATATATCTATTTCTATATTCATTTTACCAACCCTATACAGACATCTGCAGATCAGTCTTTAAGGCAGAGTTCCATAGTCGAGTGTCCGCTCATATAGAATCTTTTTAATCATATTCATTCTTCAAATACACAAAAAACTGTATGTCAGGTAACTCCTTCAGTTTTCTTCATTTTTTTATGAAAGTGTATAAAAATTGCTGTAGCCACCAATGGTGGTTTAGAGTCAGTAAGTGGTTTTCTATGCATGTACATCTCTGAGTCTTGAGTGCTTTTCCCCAACAGTTCAAACCAGTCCGGGTTTCTTTTTAGCACGCTACATGCATCACTCATTCTACCGTGGTTCAATTTTTGGAGTGAATGCTTCCAGTTCTTAAGGTGGTGGGTGTCATATCTGTTAAAATAACTTAGAATAAAATATAAATAAAAAATGCTCTGGCTAGAAATGCATGGAAAGGTCTTTAGTGAGGACTGTGGGAAGGTGGTACCTAGTCATTTTTTAAAACAGATCTCTACTGTTGAGCAAGTAGAGCAAGCCTGTGAAAAGCAATCAAGCAGCGCCCAAGCCCAACTAGTCCCAAAAAAGGCAAATCATGGCCCAGTGCTGGTCCAAGAGTTAGCTGAAAAGAATTCAAAAGCAAAAGTAAGGTCTAAACTTGGGCCTGAGATTGGGGTGAGATGTTATCTGCTGATGGTGGAGGTGGCTGAGCGTAGGGTACTGGGTAGCTTGTCCGTACCAGGGATCTTCCAGGGCCCTGGGGATACTGTGGCCTTCCTGCCTGATGCACTGCTGCTGGTCTTGTAGTTGTGGCTGGGACGACTCTCTTGGCTGATTTGCCTTTTCTCTGGTTCCTTTGGTAGAGCTTTGAATGGCACCAGAGCTCCTTGCTGGTTGTTGCTACCATCTAGACATCCGTTTCCCCCATTCATATTGGTGTCAGTTGGGGAAGTTTTGGGCGAGTCATGCTTTCGAGAAGGCGTGTTGCTCCGTTCCCTCCTGCGCTCCTTGGACTTTGCCCGGCTGCTTTTGTGGGATTTGGGCTCTCCAGCAAGTTCATCAAGGTATTGTTGCTGAACCTTCCCTCCACTAGAGCGACGGTTGGTCCTGCTACTCTCCCTCTGCTTGGTCCCACCCCCAACTCCACCTGCAATGGATGACCGCTTCCCCACATTGGCCTGCTCCAGAGCCCTACTCTCTGGGCCTCTAGGACCCTGGGAACAGTCTGGACCTGCTGCTTCCAAGGACAATGTATGAGGTGGGTCAGTGGGTGGGTTCACATGAGAAGAAGCTGATGGATTAGATAAGCTGTCGAGGGGTGGTGCTACTTCCGACAGACTTGGGGAGGCTGTAGTGTGAGCATCCCAAGGGGCGGGACTATCTGCTGAGGAAAAAAGGCAACAGTTACATCCAAAGAAAGAAGCACAACTGGAAACACACTCATACACCACAATACAGGAACCAAAGCTAACACTGGCAAAGAAGCACTAACTAAAGCCAAGTTCACACTACATGATTTTAAGCCCGATTTATGCCCGATTTGCAAATCGTTGAGCTCGCCGACAGGTCAGGGTGTTATCGCGTGCAAATCACGGGGGATTAGCGGACGAAGAAAGCTTGCCAATCTGTTAGTATGAAAGAGCCAATTAACGCAGCGAAAACGCTCGTAGACGACACGTCGCCGAGCCCAGAAAAATATCTAGCCTGCTAGATATCCAGAGCCGTCGCGCGACTCAACCTCAGTGATGTCATGAGTACAGCCAATCATAGCAACACATAGGTTGAGGACACCAGGTAAATCTTAGTTTTTTGCATTTTTTTTCTCAGAGCACATCGTCGCGCAAACGTTGTTCAGCACTAGTTTCTGTCTGATGTCCATAATATTGCCGTGTTGTGTTCTCTTCTTCACTGGGTATTGGCGCACATGCTGTTTTGCGCCATTTCTGTTTCATTTTATTGCGTGGTTTTTCGTGCCAAAACGTGGTTTGTAGACAAGATAGAATCGTTGTTGTCAACTCGTTATTTATTTGATTATTTTCAGGATTTAGACCGTACCATAGTATTGAAACAGCTCTCATTAGAGTCACAAATGATTTGCTCTTATCATCCAATCGTGGTTGTATCTCTATGTAGTGCGTTGTCAACTCGTGTAGTGAGTTACCTCCTGTTGTGGATCAATCACGTTGAGTTGTGTGGTGTGAACAGCTAAACAACTTGAACACTCCTGATTTCACAGAGAGCAAGTCATGTAGTGTGAACCGCACAGTTCAGCCCAACGTTTTAAAATCATGTAGTGTGAACAAGGCTTTAATCAACATGAACCACACAAACCACCCCCCCCCCCATCCCTCCCCAAACCACTTCAGGGCAAACCCCAATTTCATTTCGCAACTCAATCCTGTATCACCTTTCAAGAATAGTTCAGACTTCATGGTTTCAGTTCACAGTTCCAAAATATAATGGATCTGATTGTGACAAATAGTAATGCTATCTACCAATGCTAAAATTAGGTTACGGTAAGGGTTTAGATTGAGGTTAGGGGATAGTATTTGTTTCAGTGTTGTGTTGACACTGAGATTGTCATGACCAATAAATGCATTAGATTTGGCTGTGCGGCAGGGTTTGCGATGATCTGGTTTGGGAGAAAAAAGAAAAGAAAAATCACACAAACCCAACTACCAAAAAATGCAATGGTATTACCATAGTTTTTTGCACATGGTACAATGTCTTCTATAAATGAAAATGATTTGGATTTGGTACATATTGTAATAGTTCCACAAAGTATGTTTGAAGTATGTTGGAGTACGATATAAATACATTACCATGGTAAATATCAAAGCACTATGGTATTACCAACTTATAGCATGGAATGGAATTGCCACTTTTTATAAAGTGCCACTGTTTAACACAGAGCACTATATTACATTGTTTACATACCATACAAAACCAACCTCCATTACTGCCAGGAAATGGGATAGTTTTCATCCAGTAAACCAGTTTCATATGTCTACAGGGTGTGGAATAATCAGGTTTTCCCATTGGCTTCTCCCGCTATCCGCTTCCCCACACATACACTGACACAGATAACTTCATACCCAGATGCTTATATTGGAGTGATGCCCACCATCCACAACCCATTCCACAACCTAATCCTACCTGTTACCGCATTTATTGCAGGATACATTGAGGACTGCTCAGGTTTCTACCAACCTACGCATCACATATGCACCCAGGCGGCCATTTTAACATATGCTAACAAACAAATTGGCTGGGAGATCATTTCAACTGAAGAAAACCAAACATTTACAACAATATCTTATTATCCTCAAGCTTCAAGCTCAGGGAAATATAGCAAGAGTGAACAGTTATGTATCATTATATCTGTGCTAGCCTTTTCTTACTCTACTGGGGTACATTTTCCCCACTTTATATGGCCCAGGTGCAGCAGAAATCACTGGCGTATAGAGGAAAAAGATGAATCCAAGCTCATAAAGGGGTTTTCACTGTGAAATAGAAGACAGGTATGGAATATAAAACCATGGAGGCTGACACAACCATCTCATGATGGCTGTATTTCAGCAAAGCTTTTTGTGGCCCACAGAGATCGCAGTGGGATACTAAACGCATGAGAAGAGATGGCCGAGTGTGAGAGGAATTCAAAGGAATTCAGACCTGTGGCTGTTAGGACTTCATAGGCGTCAAGTTTTCATCACAATAGAAAGTCAGTTACACAAATGTTAAGTGTATGTGCATGTAGGGGTGGTATGCTGCCTCTAGATAGATACTGTAACCTCAGTGCTTTCATTGTATGACCTAAATGAAGTATGGTTAGATAATATTTAGAAAATGTAAATATATTCAACAGGGCTTTCTGTTCCTTCTATAACATTACCATTCCGAAAACGGTTTGATTATAAATAATACCAGTTATGCAAGAGTTTGAATACGTTTTCTACTATAGAGCTTGTGACTAAACCTTGTAACTGTCAAACTGTTGTCTAGTCATAGCCAATACAGCCTGTGCGTAACAGATAGCGGCGACTTAGAGGGTGGAGGGAGACAGCCTTCACTGCAATTCATGTTGTAGGAAAGTAAGCATGACACTGATCTGACATTTTTCTAGGGTCTTCTCGGTGAGAAGAGCTTCAGGTGATGAAGAGGCTGTACTTCAACGCATAGGCGTGTCCTTAGACAGGGCTGAGTGGAAGTCATGTTAGCCACCACGAGGGGTAGGGTACTCAAACCATAGGTTCCATAGATCGGGACGATGGTGCCCCGTCTCTGAGAAAGGAAGAGGAGGAATCCTTTCTCAGAGAGGAATTGGCCAGTGAGGGGCTGTCGCGAGGAGCACCATTTCAGAGAACCAAGTCCCGGTGGGCTGTAGAGGTGCAACCAAAATGATCTGCTCCTCGTCCTCCCTGATCTTGCACAGTGTCTGTGCGAGAAGGCTCACTGGAGGAAACGTATACTTGCGGAGGACTGGCGGCCAGCTGTGCGGCAGTGCATCTGTGCCGAGCTTTCCCTCGGTCAGGGAATAAAACAGGCTGCAATGGGAAGAGTCGTGGGAAGCAAACAGATCTACCTGTGCGTCGACAAACTGTTCCTAAATCAGCTGAATCAACTGAGGATGTAGTCTCCATTCCCATGGAAGTGGCTGAAACCGTGAGAGCTTGACGGCTGCATGGTTCAGTTCTCCGGGAATGTAAATGGCATGAAGTGACTTCAGACACTTCTGACTCCATATGAGGAGATGGTGGGCGAGTTGCGACCTACGGCGGGAGTGTAGACCACCTTGTCAGTTGATGTACGCTACTATGGCCATGTTGTCTGTCCGGACTAGTACATGTTAGCCCTTGAGCAGCGCCAGGAAGCAGTGCCGAAAGAATTGTACTGCCAGCAACTCGGGGCAATTGACATGCAGGAGGCGCTGGGGTCCTGTCTAGGAGCCCATGGCTGCATGTCCATTGCACATAGCACCCCAGCCCGTGGCAGAGGCATCTGTTGACACAACAACATGCCTGGAAACTCGTTCTAAGGGCACTCCGGGCCGTAGAAAGCTGAGGTTCGACCACAGGGTGAAGTTCTGACGGCAGACCTGAGTAACTGGTGTCCAGAGCGTTCCCTGTTGCCATGCCCGTCTCGGGATTCGATCGTGAAGCTAGTGCTGATGCGGTCTCATATGAAGCAGTCCAAGCGGTGTGGCTGCTGCTGCGGATGCCATATGCCCCAGGACACTCGGAAATAACTTCAGTGGAACCGCACTCTTGCCCTTGAATTGTCTCAGGCAAGTCTGCAGTGACTGTGCACGCTCGCTCATAAGCTGCACGCACATGGCGACCGAGAAAAGAGATCCTCTGCACCGGGGGAGAGTTTGCTCTTTTCCCAGTTGACGAGAAGGCCCAAGCAGGCAAGGTGCCGGAGCACTAGGTCCCTGTGTTCGCAAACCTGGTTTCGAGAGAGAAGTCATCGAGAGGATGCGAACCACGTGTGGCTGAGGCACAAAGACTGGCTCGATGAAGACGGGAGGAGACGGGGATACACTAACCGTGTACTGGTATGCCTGTCCCTCGAAAGCATACCGAGTTTGGGAGGGAGGGACGGGAGTCGTAGGAGGGCGCCCTCTGTGGCGAACAGAACGGCAGTATATGTTTAATGGCCTTAGTCTGTTTCTGGGCGGCTGACTGTTGGGCGAAATCCTCGACTTTATACACATATACATTAAAATTTGATTAAATAATTTATATAAAGACGCATGCACGCACCCACACACACACAAATCACAAGAGTGAGTAGAACTAACCAATCCAAACCACAGCACTCCAAGAAAGAATGATGGACGGATGTGTTAGAACGCATGCACTCTATTACAAACCGTGTCTTTAGGATGGCCCATTAGGAAGAAATAGGGGGAGCCATGGTTGTCACTTTTCATGCACATGGAGAGACTGGAAGGTACCATTCCTATAAGAGGTGAAGTAACAACCTAGACCAATCATTAGGGTTAGAACAGCAGCCACAGGCTAAGACAGTATTAAGATCAGTGCTGAGATAGTATTCAGTGAGGAAACTTGAGAAAAGAAGTGAGAATTATTCACTAACAGCCAATAACATTGATGAAATAGAAGAAGACTACAGTAGCTATACCATTAATACCAAGAGCATGCTGTCATAGTGTTGTGTTAGCAGGAAAATGGAAGGAGTTTAATGTATTACAAAAATAATTTGGGGGTTATTAAATATTAGTGTACAAGAGAATGATTTTCCACCATCGCTTTGGCTCTTAAATGGGAATTTGTTCTCTCAAAACGATAAGTTCAGATCTTTAAACAATTTTCTTCTTACCAGATTTTAAATTCTAAAAGATATTTTATTCCATTTGTACATGTTTTGGCAAATTTTAGCAAAAGAGTAAGTACATTGAGCCATCACACGCAAAATGATCAATTTTCAGACATCATGTATAAAATAAACAAAATATACAAATAAATTTTGTATTGATTCTCCCAGTAAAATATTACGTACTGTTGAAATCTGTATCTAAAAAAGATATTCTTGTATAGTATAGTAAGCAGGCAGTGTCAACAAAAAGTATAACAAACATTACATTTATATATAGGATATCAAACATTTCCAGAGTTGACTGTCATGGTGAAAAAAAAAAAACACATTATGACCAGTGTGGCTTACGTAATGAGAAGAATTATTTAGGTGCAATTGGCCAATTCAATGACACAGTTTTGAAGCATGAAATAAACAGTTTGGGTGGTGTTGCTACATTTTGTAGAACAGTTCTGACAATTGCTCTTACAGTTTAGAGAATGTTAAGACTGTTTAAAAAAAAAAAAATCAAAGTGATTGAGGAAAACTGAAACTGATGATAAATACCTATAAATTCCCATTGAGAGCAAAATATTGATGATAAAATATCACATGAAACCAGACACATTTCGCCCCTGGTGTGAATACGGTAAGTCAGTGCATTATTTCACAACATATGAAATGTCTGCCAAATAAGTTGTGCTATTCACATTCTATTTGTTACCCAATAAAATATTACCTCTTCCAAAGATGAGGTAATATTTGTCTTGTGCTGATGGTTACTCCATCTCTTTTGGGGCCCTGTAACCTAAGTGATCTAATACTCTAGGCAATTTTGAGCAGTAAGGTATGTGTTCAGACAGTTTGTGTAAACCTACCATACTCAGGGACCTGCCCTGTGCCTCTCTTGAGCAGCAGGCGAACTCTACGGCCACCCGATTTGATGAGCTCAATAGCCCGAGCGTGGGTCATATCCCTCGTGGTCTCCCCATTTATTTCAATAATCTGATCACCAACCTGCAAAAAAGACAGAATATGTCTATTATCTCTGTATGGGAACAAAATCAACCAAAACAAACGTTCAACAGAATGTTTAGCTAGTATTCAAACATCCAAATTAGTGAGGATAGATGTGCAAATGTACACACAGAACAGCAGTAATTATTTTTCGACAGCTTTGAACTGCACCCTCTCTGGTTTTAATGATAATATGACTATCATTTATAAAGAATAATTATTCGGTAGGATCAATATAGATCCATAACTCATGTCAGCTGTTTTGGTTAAGCTCTAATCAGCATTAGCAGTCATGAATGAGATAGAGTACCAATTAATTTCAGAATTAGTATGACTAAATGATTGAATCATGGGTATGAAGGTCCTACGAGGTACAACACTGATGCTCTTCATCAACTGTGAATAAGATCTGTGATATTGAGGATAACAAGGGACTGGTTAATTGCCTTTCCTTGATATAAAGCAAGACGGTGTGATCGATACTATAATTAGTTGCCTACCAAGTGTCAATCAGTGGGATCTAGAATTATATTTTGTCATTTATGTTGTATCTTAATATTTTTTTAGCTGTCTCTAATTTCATGTTCATTAAAGCACAGCCATCAAAGTGCCTTTTGTAACAAATCCACTGCCTTCAACAATACATTCCAAGACAATTACTGTCAGACTGCCATGTCATTTGCTGTGAGCAATATTCCTGTTATTATGCATATTATGCTTTCTTAAGGCTCAGTTTTTTTTTTCTTTTTTTTTTTTTTCGTGGGCTAAGATTTGTGTGATAAAAAGGTTATAGTTGTTTTTAGCTTGTTCAATTGTGAAATATCTGTCAGTCTTTGGCATTTTTAAAAAGTTGTTAGTTGTTCTATGTTCACATGCAGGTGTCTTGGGCTGCCCGCAATCCATTTTTAAAAGGTTATATTAACAACTATATATATATATATATATATAATAATGTATTATATTTTTAAAAAACACAATAAATTAATATCATAATTTACTGTAAAATGATATATTTATTACATAATAATGCATACTGATTTTATATTACTGTAATATAACAATGCAAACTAACTGACTTGAATCTTGTACAACTTTGAAATTGAAAATTGCTTATTTTGACGTGTTAAAGCAAAACAAAAAATATGTTGTCATAACTTATTTATCAAATATTTTTTTTTTCAGTGTACATAATACATACCAATTAATTAATATAAATAATTCAGTTCTGCTGCATATTGGTTATTGGACAATAAAACATAAAATAATTTGAATAAAAGAAAAAGGTAAAGAAAAAAAGGTTAAGAAAAAAAAACCCACATAAAATGCACATCCTTAATAATGTTTTCCCTTAACAGACAAATAAATAATGTAGAAAAATTTGCATAATTATGAATATATTGCTGCCATAACAGGAAAATGTGCCCACATATATGCTGATGCTGAGCATGTACTGTAGGTGCATCAAACTTGTCTTGTGTCTGTGAACTAATTGGCCAGGGACTGAGGAAAATGAACGAGCCAATTATAGTAACAAATGCCAGCGATGGGCGGCAAGTTTTCTATGACTCATTAAGATCTTGTTTAAATTAGGGGCAGCGAGCAGTATGACCTCAACTCTCTCATTATTGACAAGGAGTCTCTCGTTTTTTTGTTCCTGCACTGCGTCTGGGTCAGGTTCCTCTGACCTCTGGAGAATGTTAGTAAAAGCATCACAGCTAGCAGCGTCAGCAGCTCGATCATGTTTTCGGTTTAGGGTATGTGTGGAAATTACGGCAGCAACAGTGTCTGGGGGCTATATGACTTCATACTTAATGGACTTTTTAAATACTACAAGTCTGTTCCACAACAAAATAATTATAGTTTCAGAAGGCATATTGTGCTGTGCTATATTCACACCTTGAAAAAAGACAGGATGATGTTTACAGTCAGAACTGAGGCTTCTAAATGGAAGTGAAGGGTCAGGTAATGGGCTAAATATGAGTCCCCTAAGGGGACTATTAGCTCTGACAGCTTCATTACAGACAAGAGCTTAAAGGTTCAATATGCAGGATTTTCGCAGTAAAATATCCAAAAACCACTAGGCTAATGCTATATATATTGTTTAGTTGATTACTTCCAATATCCGAAATGTTTCCAACTATTTGTAAATCGTGAGAAAATTGCGATTTTAACCAAGGAAACAGGACGTGTGAGCAGCAGGGGTGAGGAGTTGCCAGTTAGTGACGTCATATCCGCGTTACCCTCGGTTCCCACCAGATTTGAACTAACAGGGAATTTTTAACAGGGAATACAGACAGACGGATGGACGGACAGACGGACGGACGGACAGATAGATAGATAAATAGGAAGTGATTTCAGCTCACCCTCATCCTCCCATTGCGTATGGCTGGTCCATCTTCAGCCAATCGCAGAACGAACAGGTCCATCTTATACTCGCGACCTCCACGGATACTAAAGCCAAAACCTTTCATGCCCTTTTCCAACTCAACTGTGAAAAAATCAAAATCCTGCGAACACACACACTCACGAATTAAGGACTTCATGGTCATTTTATGAACATGCAAAATGCATACTTTAAGGAAATGAGCTGTCAGTGCCACCTAATGCACTCTAACATAGTCAATTCATGATATTAATGATGTCAGTGTGTATTTCCACTGCATTAGCACCTGTAGCGCAGTGTTTGAGTGTATACAGAGTGGCAGCAGAGTTACCTGTGGCATCCTGTAGTCCGGTAAGGGAAAGGTGCGAGGGTCAGTGGACAGCTGTCTGTAGTCCAGCAGAGGGGGGTGTCTGTAATCCAGCGTTGGCGGCTGTCGGTAATCTGCCACAGGAGGGTGTCTGTAGTCCACCGGGGGCTGGCGGTAATCTGTGAACGGCTGCCGAATATCGGGCTTTACATCCTGTCTTGCTTTCACCTCTGACCTGTAGCTGCATAACCAATCAGAGCAGAACCAGTGAGCACTAATGCTGTTAAAAATATTACACACTGAGTTGGAATATGTGCAACTGCAAGTGAGAATTGGACTACTCCGCAGGTGATTTTTAGTTTTTTTTTTTTTGGTTAAAAATGTGTCAATTCAAAATAGTAGCTTTTATCAGCAACAAAAAATGTATGGGAATGAGGAGATTCTCTCATAATATTTACTCTGTTTACATATGTTTTCCAGTGGATGTGTCAAAAACGGCTTGCCACTGACAGACTAACACTCTAATGAATTTTAAAGTTTAATGCAGGATAATGTTCTATTGAAAATAGCCAAGCCTGAGCAGCTCTAGGGTGTATATTGAAACTTTAGAGAGCATGAAGAGGAAGTGAAATCATTGGTCCCTGCAGGCTATATAAATGATTAAAAACTGTTTTAATGCAGGTAAATTATTCAGTTCTGTAAGAGATAAGTGATTTTACGCAACAACCTAATAGTGAGAGAGTCTATCATAGTGAACTTTAGTAGAGTTCGGACATTTTGGACTTGAATGTGTCCATTCAAATGATTAGTGACGCACAATACATCGCTTCCATATCGTCAGCAAAATATCCACCTTTCATACTATGTATTGTAATGTTGTGATGTCAAAATTTACTTGGAGTATTAAAAAAAAGAAAAGAAAAAGTTTTTAGTGTTGTATTTTTAAATTATTATTTGACATAATAGTATAGAATTTTAATATAGGCCATAATAATCATTAAGGTGAGGTCACATCCATTAAAGTCACCCTAAAATAAAATGTTTACTTTTTTGGCTTTTAGTATGAATATTTAAGCCTTAGGCCCTGTGTCCACCAAAGCGTTTTTTCATGCCATGAGCGTAATGAGGCACTGAGTGTTTTTTTCACACTAAAGCGCTAAGTGCCCGGCGTTTTTTACCGGCCACTGAGAATGTTCCACTTTGGGTAAACGTACCACTCATCACTGTCGCTTTTTACCCAACCGTCTAATCACAGTGGAGGAGGGAAGGGACTAATACCATACTGACCAACCGCAACATTCTGCTTGTACAACGTCCACAGATAACAAATACGTAACAGAAAATACGTAACAATGTATTGACATTTTAATATAGAATCAACGCAGAAGCAAGATATGTATGAAATGAGGTACTAGTAACACTTTCGCGGATATTCCGTATCATAACAAGCAAAGCGTCTCAACTGAAAAAAAGGATGCGCTGCTGTATTTTAAAGCGTCATGGAGGAGATAAGGTGGAAAAACAGTTGGAGATTAGGAGGAAATTGCGGCTGAGGTCAACGGCTCTGGATGAGCTGTGATATAAACTAAAAGCTATTCGCTATTTTAAAAAAGAGGAGGAGTTGTTCGATATGTCCCGCCCCATCTTCCTGTTTTATTGGAATTTTTTTCCCCCATTGTTAATAGTGTAAAAATGCATGATTCACAGCTCCCACCAAAGTCACTTTCAAACCGAGGAGCTTTCTGTTAGGCAACGTAGCAAATCATGTGACCAACTTGAACCCATTGCGAAATCTGTGTGAGGAAATTTTCCGGAATTTCCGCCCTCATGCAAAACTCCCAATCACACACATTTCTATTGAAACGGACTCGGTTTCACCTGTGAAATTCCTCTGAGTCACGGTGAATGTAAGCAGTGCATTTCAATACTGGTGCATCTCTACAAATGTCCAAGGCCCCGTCCACACTACTGCGTTTTCGTTTAAAAACAGAGAATTAAAACGAATACGATCTCCGTCCACACCAGCGTTTTTATCTGCGTTTTAGAAATGATCTCTGTCCACATTAAAACGACTGAAAACTCGGATCACGTGACCATTCACCAACACTGGGCATGGGTGTGCCGGTGTAAACAGTGGTTGACGAATCAGAGAAGGATACGTCATGACTGATAACACCCAATCATAGAGCCGAGCGTAAGCCTCTGCGTCATCGTTTCTAAAATCCTCCGTTTTGTCCCGTTTTCACTAAAACGCCCTCCGGAGATTCAAAACGCAAAACAGAGCTGCAGCGTTTCTAAACTTCTCCGTTTTAGGTCTTCTTTTTTCCCGTTTGGGTCTCCGTTTTTAAACGAAAACGCAGTAGTATGGACCGGGCCCAAGTCAACCACTTTAATCACTCCATTGCCAAACACCATGGACATTTTCTTCAGATTTTTTTTTAGCTTAACCTAAAATCTTAATACTTAAACCAATATTTAAGTAATTTGAGTTGGTGTCTTGCCTGCTGTCGTGGCTGTAGATCTGTACTGGCACTGTGGAGGGCTGGGTGGGCGGGTTCTGTTGGGTCACTGAGCTGGGATGATTGGCTGGACTGGTTTGATTGACTTGTGCTTCTGAACTAGGCTGCATTATGGGACTGGGTTGAGGTGCAGGATTGGAGTTGGGTAAAGGGGCAGCACCACACTGGTTCACATTGCTGGCTTGGCAAACTGGACTGGGCTGGGCCATAGGGCTCTGCTTCTCTGAGCTGCCTGCCGAAGGAGTGCTGTTCGTCTCTGAAAAATGGAGAAAAGACAAAAAGCTAAGCTGCTTTTTGTAAGACATCTTCTAAAATACTTTGCTAACCTGAACAGTTTAACATTTTTTATAAGGCAGAATCTATGGTCCTATTTATACTTGGCCACTTCATGCGTTTTCATGAAATTATGAATTGATTGTGAAAAGACCAGGTGTAAATGTCCTCTGAAACTCAGAGATAGATAGAGGTGGTTTAAGATGCATTTCATATTCAACTGAGCAGGTATACATCTGGTCTTTGAAGCCATTTGAAGCCACAGATATGGCCCGTTGTATACTGTATGAATATCACGCAAAATGCCGCAAATGAAACTGAAAGTAGAGAGATTATATTCTCCTACCAGTGTTGATGCCGCTCTCTCTCATATTGCGGTCTTTGATCTGGAAATCAGCTGATGATAAATAATATGCAACACATATTTTGCTTTCGGTGACATTGAATTTGCATATACAGAACCACAGAAATTGAAGATCGGATTGCTATTTGTGTTTCGGAGGCACATTTATGTGACCATGTTTAAATGGAACAGTGACCAGTGTAAATAGGCCCCATAATAAATCTAAGTTACATAGAAAGGAAAGAATGACAGTGTGTTGTTAAAGTGGATTTCTGGTGGTTGGTGATTTTTTTTGTGCAACCATTTATTGACTTTGGCCCTTGAAAGTGCAAAAATGTACATTCTGTTGTCATTAACTCACACTCATGTCACTACAGACTTTTTTTTGTGAGTAAAATATGACAGAATTTTTCTTTTTGGCTGAACTATACCTAAGATCGGATTTATATTTGTGTTTCAGAGACACATTTAATTTCTGTAAAAAGTATGTTGGCACATATCATTTGGCCATCAATATAAGCTATTTATTATGTTGTAAACCTTTTTGCTTATTTATTTTATAACTGATATTTCAGTCACAATCTTATGAGCCTTCTGCATTTTTATCACAAAATACCATTCAGAAAAAACATCCAATCATATTTCAACTTCTATAAACACTTGAATTATGTATGAAAAGAACTGTAAAAGTATAGTTAGTTTAAAATAGTTGTGATTAAAAAGCTACAGCATGAAATTTCTGCAGCACTAGGCACATGTCCCACCTCAACCATTGGTTGAGCCAGTTGACATGACAGAGCAATGTTCAGGGAGTCGACCTCCAAAGTCACATTAGTGGCAGAATTAGTGTTCACAGATATCCACTCACCCTCCTGAGGGATGATCCTGAGTGTGACGGTGAGTCCAGCGTCCTTGATCAGTTTGACGATGTCTGCGTGCGGCATGTTGACAATAGACTGATGGTTGACGGCCAGTATGCGATCTCCAACCTTGAGCTTCCCACAGTGGTCTGCTGGACTTCCCTCAATGATGCGGCCAATCTTATGAGGCACGGCTGATAACACACATGCAAAACATTGAGATAGCTATTTTTCTCGTCTCTGTCCTCTACTGTTAGCGGAGCTGTTTTTATATACGAGAGTGGGCGCTGCATTAGAACATTGTAACTAGCTTCTTCTGCCCTCAAATAGAAGTGCATCCATTATTAATACATAGGTTTATGAGCACATGCTGCAATTTTAAAATCACTATGACCCTCTGAATCAGCCAGCCTGAGTGAGCTATTACAGTATGGGAATGTCGCAGATAGAAAACAAGTTTTAGTGTACAAAGTTTACAAAATAATCATTCCTTACCAGCAGCAGCCGCGGTTTCAGGCCTGTTCAGTGAACTGATAATAACGAATCCAAACCCTTCGCTCTCCTTCCGCTGAATGGTGACATCGCTAGGCTGCAGATTCTGATTGGTTACTGTGTCTGGTGGGGAGGAGCCTGTGGTGGATGGGGCAGAGTTTTGTGTGGGGGCGGTGTTGTTACAAAACATTCTGGAGTTGAAGTCACTCCTGGGGGAACTGTGCTGGGTAGATCCAGGACTGCGGCCGTTCTCTGGAAAGGGTTCACCTGAAGATACCAGAGCGAGAGAGGAAGTACAATAAATAGACTTTTCAAGTAACATTTCCACTGACTTGGCATTTTCATTTAATTTCCCTTTGTTGTCTGTGGTTATGAAGTCAAGTTGAAAGAGTGGTGTTAGCCCACCTAAATGACATTACTGGACTCATGCTGGAGGTCCTGCAGTTTGCTTATCGAGCAAACAGGTCAGCCAACATGGGACTACACCTCATCCTACAACATCTGGACAAACTATGAACTTATGTAAGGATCATGTTTGTGAACTGTCCAAATTAACTCAGCTCTCTGTTCCCTCCTCCATCTGTCATTTGATCATCAACTTCCTGACAGAAAAACAGCAGCTAGTGAGGGTTGGAACATTTTCATCCAACACCCACATGATCAAAACTGGTGCCCCCCAGGGTTACGTCCTCTCCCCACTCCTCTTTTCGCTCTACACCAATGACTGCTCCAGTTTGCAGACAACACCAGACTCATTAGTCTCATCCAGGGGTGCGTTTCCTGAAAGCATCGTTAGCCAAATATGGTCGCAAGTTCCGTCGTTATCAGCTTAGTTCAACGAGTCGTTGTTTCCCGAAACCATCGTTCCAACGAACATTTGCAAACAGCATCACAAACTTGTGTGGTTTGAACGACAGCTCTCAACCTGTGGTTAGAGGCATAGTTTCTATATTGCATGGCATTTGGATGTAATAAATCCTTATCTTGGGCAAAATAAGCAAGCTGACATTCAGTACAACCGGTGCCTTTTATTTAGAATACATACAAAGTTTGAGTTTGTCAAGAGATTTAAAGTACCATATTTGAAGAGTGCGCATGTGCGAACATGCTCTACTATGTAAGAACGAGCCAAATATTGAGTCTGGTAATGAAGCAAAATAACTGAGAGCAATTAGAATTTAGAAATAGTCCTCAGATGACACGTCTATAATTTATATTAAAAAATCTAGTGTTAATTTGACCTCAAACAGTTTCATTAAAAGTAGTTATTAATCCACCAACGTGCGAAACCAATGTGGTTTAACGAATGGGTTTTGGGAAACAGTCGTGACTAGCTAGTTGATTTCCCCGAGTCCGACGATGCATCGTACAATGGTAATGAAGCAGCGAGCTACATCGCTGTACGGGAAACGCACCCCTGGCCGGTGACGAGTCTGCTTACAGACAGGAGCAGGAGCACACTCAAAATAGTGGAGATGATAGTGGACTTCAGGAGGAACATCATGATCACCATCATGAACAGCACTGTGGAAACAGTTGAGTCATTCAGGTTCTTGTGCACTATCATCTCTCAGGACCTGAAGTGGGACAATCACATTGACTCAAAAGGCCCAGCAGACGTTGTATTTCCTTTGCCAGCTGAAGTTGAACCTGACACATTAGCTGCTGATGTAGTTCTACTCTGCAGTCATTGAGTCTGTCCTCTGCACTTCAATAACTGTCTGGTTCAGCTCAGCTACCAAATTAGACCTGAGAAGACTACAGTGGATAGTCCGGACCGCTGAGAGAATCATTTCATTTATTTATTCATTTCAACAGGGACAATGTGCAAAAAAACATGCTTTGCACCAGATTTAGCTTAAGCTAGTTTCCATCTGCATTCCCCGCGCAGGTGAATTACAATACAAGATATACAATACAAAATGTTATAATTAGTCACTCAAATACAACTATCAATTAACTCATTCATCCATTCTCTATTTCAAACATCAATAAAACCTAAATAAAACCTCACTAAAAAGTCATATTTACATACATAATTATCTATGCTGGCACAACTGTACACCCATCCCCACTCTCGAAGAACTCTGTATTCCTCACATCCAGGCCACGACCTCTTTGAACTGTTGCTGGACTGTTGTAGCACTGAGCACCAGAACAGTCAGGCACAAGAAAAGTTTCTTTCCCAGGCAATCTTCCACATGAACAGTTAAATGTACCCACCACTGGAAATAAACATACTGTAAGCTATTTTTATGCTTATATATTGGGCTGTCAAACAATTAATCGCAATTAATCGCATCGAAAATAAAAGTTTGTGTTTACATAATATATGTGGGTGCACTGTGTATAATTACTTTATAGATATAAATACACACACATGCTTGTATATATTTAAGAAATATTTTCATGTATATACAGTACTGTATATAGATTTATATATAACTTATATTATATAAATAATATTTTTTTCTTAAATATACATGCATGTGTGTATATATATATATATATATACAAAATAATTATACACAGTGCAACCACATATATTATGTAAACACAAACTTTTATTTTTATTTAATCGTTTGACAGCCCTACTTATATATTATTTAGCACAACATACCTTATTTACACCCCCTTACATTTGTATTTAACATACACATATTGTCTATTTTGTATATTGTGTATTTTTATTCACTTATATTATTCCATTTTTATTATTAGTGTTTTGTCGCATACGTGTAAATATACTTGGCAATAAAACTCATTCTGATTCTGATTCATGAGACTTCAATGGGAAATATCATGGTTAAGAGGAATAAGGTTCTCTCAAATACTTGATTCTCATTGGTTCACAAGAGTTTTCAGTGAAAGCAAGATAATTATACCTTTTTGAACTGGGAAGAAGGGTTTGAGTTGTAAAAATTACAATATCTTTACATATATTTACTACCGTTCGAAAATTAGTAAGTGAATACGATTTTTTTTTTTTGAAAGAAATTCATATTTTTTTTCTGCAAGTATGAATTAAATTGATAAAAAATGGTAGCAAAGACATGTATAATATTTAAAAAAAATTCAATTTCAAATAAATGCTGTTCTTTATATTCATCAGAGAATCTTGAACAAATATTCCACAAAATATTAATCATCACAACTTTTCAACACTGACAATAAGAAATATTACAATGCATTGTAAATATAAAAAAACGCATATTCGAGTGGGATTCACAGGAATTAGACTTTAAATTACAATAAAATAGAAAGCAGTTTTTAAAAATTTCAAAATATTACTGTTTTTACCGTATTAGATCAATAATGCAGCTTTGGTGAGCATAAGAAACATCTTTCAAAAACTGACCCTATTACATTTTGCTAAAATGTTCTAGCAGTTTTCCTTGATTTTTTTTCTCACTCTAACAGTTACGTTAAAACATTACCTATGATTTTTAGATTTAGAAACTGGTCTCAACAACAATTAATACACGTGTGCGAGAAGGAGAGAAAGAGAGATGTTATAGATTGGCTAAAGCTGGTCAAACAGTAAGCTTATAAAAAGCTAGAAGCCAGACATTTCTCGAACGCTCCACTGAGATGCAAGGGTGGGAGAAACGATTGTCCAGGGAAGATAAGAATGAAAGGATGAGTCAGACAGCGAGAAGGATGAGGGAGGCAAAGCTTGAAAGGGCACAAAATCTGAGCCTCAGCTACACCAAGAATTATTAGACAGGGATGACGAGAGAGATAGAGAGAGAGAGCAGAGGACACATAATAAGCCGCAGAGGAACAGTATAACAGAAACTGCTTCATTACCTCCATTACCTTCTTCACATAATATATACTTCACAACAACCTATAATTGCTGTAACTGTCAGGAAATAACAAGCTTTTGCCTTTAAAGGTGGTTTATTCAGTTTTATGTATAAAGGGTTTATTTAAAAAAATTCTTCTTATATATGAGGGTAACATTAATTCTGTGTTGGAAACTTTACATCATTTTGTTTGTGTTATATAAATATACAACACATATTTTTATATATACAACACATTTTTTGTGTGTTATATAAATATATAACATATTTTATTGTTTTAATCGTGTCCTCGACCAAGACTTTTATCTTAAACTATGAATATCCATTTTGAAAATATAATTAAATTTAAAACTATGATCATCGAAAAACGAGAGCTAAATAAACATGAACCATTTCAATATTTATTGTGAGAGAATAATTTATATACTTGTTGCAAAAATGATGAACGCTCCACCACAACAAACACACTTGCGCCTACTAAAGTGAATCTTTTATAATAAAAATCAAATGTTAGTACTTGTTTACCATGGCGAAAGCAATGAAATGCGTGCTTGAGATGAAATATGAAACATGTGATGGTGAAGAAGGTAAATATAACTTGTTAACAGAGTATTTTGAATTTGAGTAATTTCCAATGGAGCTGTATAATATGTTTAACTGTATATTTTTAGGACACACAATATGGTAGCCTTAGCAAGACAATGAAGTGGTTATAGAAATGTAATTTCCATCACAGAATGCTATTAATCACAATACATGATTTGGGATGGGGTGGAAATACCATGTACGTTCACTGTTGTAGACAAATGAAACAAACAAGCAAATTGTCACCTGTGGGCTGAACTCTCCGCCGTACAGTGAGTTTAACCTGGCCAGTCCGGGCCGCCCCATGCATGAGGTCAATGACGTAACGGTGGGGTTTTCCGGCCACAGGGATCCCATCCACTGACAACAGCTCGTCTCCTGGCCGGAGACGCCCGTCTTTATCTGCTGGGCTCTTCTCGATGATTGCACCAATCAGGATCTGCACAGGCACGGCACGGTTACTATGGTCTCAGTTTAAGCTTTGTATGGAAACGAAAGCGGATGAACAGACATGTTATCATGTTAGCCAATGGCAGTGATCTCTGTTTTAGGAAGCGTGTGCGTTAGTTCTAAAGTACGAGCCTTCTCCTGAGCCTCCGGACTCACAGGCTGTCCTGGTTCCTCTCCGCCCAGGATCCTGAAGCCGAAACCGGACTTCTGTCTGCGCAGGTGCACCTCCACCTCCTGGAACTCTGATGCTGACATCGAAGAGGGACACACATTTATACTTACAATTAAGTCATTTCTCCAAATTATTCTCATCCTTCAAGTGTAATTTACTCTTCTAGTTGACATTTAAGACCCCCATTTTTGTTCAGTGAGGTCTTCATTTGTTAATTCATTCGTTTTATGTTCTTGAACCTGTTTTTGGTGGGTTCATTCTCAAGGCAGAGAATGACAAGTGACTAAAAATGAAACTCCGGGAATCTCCAGGTACTGTTTCACAGAGGTCACAATAACTGGATATGAAAAATTAATTTCAGACTTTTCATTGATACTGAGATATTGTTGTCAGCCTTTTTTGCAATATATATCAAATATCTATAATAGAAGTATTGATCGTTTTTGTCTTTTGAGGAAAATGGCCTTAACATTTTATTAAGGTTGTGGTGCTAGTCAAATTTATATATATGTATATATATATATATGAAAAAATGAATTTCAGGCTTTATGCAGAACTCTTTCTGTCAGACTGTTTCTGTTTTGGGTGCAGATATATTTACTCACCGGAGAGGTCAGCTGGGATGGCTGCTCGAGGAAGCCCTGGCTCTAAGAAAGGGAGAGATACAAGGACAGCCCATAAATCAATGCTTATATAAACATACACACCTGGAAATACACTTACGACAATATATGCATAACTGTCTCACCTCTAAAATAATGCCCAATGACTACAGAGCAATGAAGATATTATACAGTGCCCCCAACTACTTTCACAATTCTTTTTAGTGGATGTATGAAGTCGGTTCTTGATTTTATTCACTGCCATTTTATACAGTGTGTCAAATTAATGTGTCTGAAAGGATTAAATATTCTCATTTGTGATCATTAAGAGCAGCATGGTAAACATGCATTGAATTGATTAACTTTTAATTATGACTGAAAAATTACCCTATAAAGTAATTTCAGAGCCAATTATTTCCAGCCTTTTTACATGATATATCAAACATTGTTCAATGAGATTCTGATTTAAAATTTTTGTTGCTGTTGTTTTTGTAGAGATAAAATGTCCTAAAATTTTGTCTAAATGTCATCATGTAATTTTTACATTATGCATGCCATATTATTTTAGGTGATGAAAATAAAATCTATACAATGATAAGTGCATTGTAAAAAATATTTTCATGATTTGTAATCACATTTTTTCTTTTCTCAAATCAACTTAGATAATTTATGTAGTTCAGATAACATAATATTTTGAGTTTCTGATGATTAAATCAATTTCCTTCATTGTATTAACTCAATTTTTCAATTTCAATGAACTTAAAATTAAAGCAACCAGGTTATTTATTTTATTATATCTTATTTTAAGTTAAACCAAAATATATATTTTTACAGTGTGGAAAAATCTCCAACTGCAGCAGTCCACACTTATCAAACATAAATAAAAAATAAAATAAAAATATTTATTAATTTAAACATATATCAAAGACCACATAAAATAAGCATTAATGTAAACAGAATACGTGTCCTTGTTGTAAAAATTTGAGCTCCTGTATACTATAAACAATGTCTGATTAATAAGTTCTAACAACATGTAATGTAAAATGTTATCACAACATGTTTTTAAATAGCTTATAACTCAACAAAATAAGTTAAGCATTTTCAACTTTTTTAATAAGTTTTACAAGATTCAACTAATCAGTTTAAAAGTCAGTTTAATGTAATTCAAGTTGAAATGACTTTAACACCCAAGTTGTTTGTACTTAAAAATTTTAGGCAGCAACTTTTTTTTTTTACAGTTAGTAAGATTTCAAGAGTTTGAAAAACAGCCATCTATACGTCAACTGGATATCTTTACATCATCTTTGCAACATCAAGCGCACCTTCAAAAATCTATAAAAAATTAACAGTCTTATGAACTGAAACACTGCCACTGCAATTTAGAAAGAAGTGCAATTTCTCAAAATGAGGCTGATTAAAACATCTTGCTCATAAAATAAAATGAGGCTCACAGAAATATATACAAAATGTAATTCACCTTCAGGAAGCAAGCATACTTACCTGGAAGAGAAACTGAACGGTTTGCGCACAGCATAATATCTATATCAACAGCATATCTACTACAATAGATGCTAAAGTGTCCCCGATATAATAAGATCTATAACTATAAAGCAGAAACCTTGTATAATTCTATGGAGGATCCTTGTACATGACAAGATAATGGCATTATCAAACAACATCAACACACTATATTAACCAACATCTCCATTGCCATTTGCCAAGCTGTCATTGCCAGCTGTGAATACTAAAGAGATCAGGATATACAACATAAAGGAAGAGGTATAGAATGGGAAACAGTAATGAGAGCACACCAACTCCCTGCTGATTTAAAACCATAGGAAATCTAGTACAGTACAGCAGTTCAACTTTATGCAAATGCACAGTGAAAGGATGAAGTGACCAGTAATAGGAGAGAATATATATAGCAGTTGAATATATATGCATACAACAAGAAAACGACATGTTTAATTGCTGTCTAAATTCACTTTTAGAAATTCAACATCAACTCTGTTGACAGTTCAGACGTATTTGTTCACTATGCAGTCAATATTCATATTTGTACGAATGAAAGTATTTAAAACTATTTGTTGAATTAAACATACGCTACTTAAAATGCTATGAACGTTGGTTCACAGGGGGACCTCGAAAAGTTCAGAAAGCTGTGTGGTAAGTAATGTATCTATATTTGGTCAAGAAAGTACCAGCATTAATAATGTAAAGTGTTAGATAACGTTGAAGTCACTAAGTCAACTTAAGTTCTCCCAGACTCCAAAGCAGGACAAGACACGAAAACCTCAAAACACTTACCATGGAGGATAAGATTGTAAGTTACAACAACAAAAAAATGTATTTTGTGAGTCTGAGAGAGTATAATAACCTAATCCCCAAAATGTATTGTCACTCATCCCAGTTTCAGAAAAACATACCACAGACGAAATAGCTTTTAGCGCTATACGCTAGCTATTTTAGAGCATTGTGTTTCATTAGGAAACACTGCTACACTTTTTTTATTTTATTTTTTCAAATAACAGCAGAAAATGTATAAGCACAACATTAATTCCATATGTTTGGTGTGTAAATTTCAGAGTAGCCTACACAGTATGTAAACAGCACAGATTAGCAGCAGGCTAAGTAGACATCAATAGCTTTAGATGCTAGCAAGATGTTGCTTCAGTTACTTACGCCTATTCTCATAGATAGCTCTGGACTTCTCATACAGGTCATAGGGGTCAGGTTTGGTCAAGTCAAACTCTGGACCTGAGGGCCAGTGCAGATATGGAGTGCTGTGAGGGATAGCATGGATAGAAAGACTGGTTGTGGGACTGCTGTGAGGATCCCAATGTTCCAAGACCTGCAAATACACCGGCATTCAGTAAAGCACCCAATCATTAAAATGCTAAACTGAGTAAGCAAATTGTGCTCTTCCAGGCAACTTCCGCCTTGAATTTCACTGGCCGTGGGATAGGAAGGTGTTTAACAATGAACTCGTTTTTGCGGTAATTAGTTTTTAAATGAAGTGTATACACACAATGCATGGCAAGTTAGTTCTAGCTCAGCGAAATAAGGCAGCATCAAGGGCTCATCAAGGACGCTTGATGCGTTTCCCTATTGCTGACGATACTGAATGTAATCTTTGTGTTTTCTCATGCTAATGCAGCTGTGGGTGAAACGCTCCCAAACCACTTCACTGCACCGGACTCGCGCACGACACCCAAAAATTAGGTAATGCAAACAGAATGCACAAAGAACAGCAAGCAGATGGCTGATATGAAGGCTGTTTTCACACACGATTCGATTGCTTGGCCTGAACTCAAGTTCAATTCCACCCCCCAGTCCTGCTAGTCAGTTTGTGCTTTTGTACGTTTGTGTCATTAAGGTGAGTATCGCTGTTAGGGATGGGAATGATAAAGGATATATTGATACTGGTTCTGAATCAGCTTCTTAATGATTTAATTTATGATTCTTTTAGTAGTTTTAAAGAAAATAAATATATATAAATCCCTTTTTATATATATTATGAGATATCAATAAATACATTTAAAAACTATTCTCCCAAAAACAATTTACACAGATGTTTTAATGACTTTCAATTCAATAACTGACCTTTTGCTGATCATTTACTCACCCCCATGTCATCCAAGATATCCATGTCATTCTTTCTTCAGTCGAAAATTAAGGTTTTTGATGAAAACATTCCAGCATTTTTCTCTATAGAATGAACTTCAATGGGAACCAAACAGTTCAAGGTCCAAAAGACACTTTCAGTACAAACTGCAAACTGTTCAAAGGGCTTTAAACGATTCCAGATGATGAATAAGGGTCTTATCAAGCGAAACGATCGCTCATTTAATAAATAAATAACAAAGTTTTATAAGCTCAAATGGTCACCTTGCTCTGTTCTGTGACGCGCGTTTGTGACTCTCCTGTTCGAACTCGTTCATCAAAATGAATGAATCTTTTTATGAGTCATTTGGTTCATTCAACAAACGAAACAAACAAATTGACTCGGAAAAAGATTCGTTGTAACAGAACAGAGCAAGGCGACCATTTGAGCTTATAAAACTTAAACTTTGTTATTTATTTATTAAATGAGCGATCGCTTCGCTAGATAAGACCCTTATTCATCGTCTGGAATCGTAAAGCCCTTTGAACAGTTTGCAGTTTGCACTGGTAACCAATACAGTCCATTATAAGGAGAAAAAACCTGGAATGTTTTCATCAAAAACCTTAATTTCTTTTCGACTGAAGAAAGAATGACATGGACATCTTGGATGACATGGGGGTGAGTAAATTATCAGCAAAAGTTTTTCTAAAAGTGAACTACACCTTTAACTATATACAACAATTTTAGTAAAGTAAATTCTACTTCATTTTCTCATTCAGTTTCCTGGGGGGTCGTGGTCAGTTCAATTCCAGCTCATGAATCATAAGTGAGGCGATTAAATTCTGAATTTTGCCGAGCCCAAGGAACACACAGTATTACAGCAACAACACAAAAAAGCTTTAAAGGGCACCTATTCTGCATAAATCACTTTTACAGGGTGTTTGAACATTAATGTATTCTTATTAAAACTACTAAGTTATTCAATTAAGTGCAGTGAGTGACTTTCTGTTTTTCTTTTCTTGTTTGATTAATATTAACAGCTTATAAAGCAGTAGGTAATACGCTGCTTTTTACTGTATACAAATCTTATATACACATGCGATGTCTTTACTTGCTGTTTACATTCACAGACAAAACCGACTGTGTTTAATGTGAACTGAGTGTTTTTTACATAATCTCGTGTATTTGACAGTTTAAGCACAAAGATGTGAAAGAGAACTTGAGTTTAATACTCACGGGACGCCCCGTCTGACATTCGGCTTTCTGTGCGAGTGGATCGGATGTGTGCGCTCAGAAAACCACAAATCAGAAGTCTACACTGATATAGCTTTAAAACACATGCCGATAATACACTTTCATGATGATGAAGTACTTCAATGTCACATGAGTGTGACCGTGATAGAGCTGATCAAGCCAAACAGATGTTTTAGTTTCTGTCAGAGTATCCAAGGCACAAGCTGAAACTTAACAGGCATATTCTGGGCACACCTGAGACTTATCTTGTAGAAAGGGGCAGAATAGGTCCTCTTTAAAATTAATATTACTAACCAAACTTATACAACAAATGCATTCAGGTTCACGGCAAAAGCTGTCAACTCTATAAGCAAAGCCAAACAAAAGGCCTGATTAAAGAAGAGCGAGTAATTGTCAGCAATGAAAGAAAGTGGATGCCAGGATGAGAAAGATGCCAGGGCTTATTAAAGGAGGTCTGGGTTAGCATGTTAATCTGGAGGAGCTCTAGAGGATGAAGGTAAATGGCTCTGGGGTGCTTTGTGCAGATGGGAAACAAAAACATTATAACATGTCACTGCCAAGCAAACTCACACACGCGCACATTAGCTCATGTCATGCCAGAGTGAAGCGCTGTGACATACACGCTCCTGCAAATAGTTGTTTTTTTCTCAAGGTAAATGTTCCCTTAAAGAACCAACATCCATTGGAAATGTTTTGGAGCTCACGCTAGAGGTCTGCTATTGGGTGGGTTCACGTAAGTTCTTTCATATATAACTTCAGGTTTGTGCTTGGTTCAGGTTTTTGATGAATAAAAAATACAGTTTTATTATAAATATTTAATGTTTTAACTTGTTTTATTTGCTCAGACGCTCTTCATCTTTGAGTCAGAGTCTGTGAGAATGGGTCATATGAGTTTAATCATCCAGAGATGAAATGGAAATAGACTGATATTGGGGTTTAGTCTTTTTAGTAGTATGGTCAGGTTGGTATTTTACATAACTCACACATTCTGCTGACTTGTTCACTCCTTCACTATATAATGAATGTCACATAGTTCACTCTAAGAGGAAAGAGTGAGCAAACATTTAATATTGTGATATTATCATTTTAATGTACTTTAAATTTGGCCTTTAAGTTTCTGTGGAAATTGAAGCGTTTGCACTCTCAGTACTTCATGACTTGTGAGTATGAGCACATGAAGAGAGGAATATTAAATAAATCATGATTCAAACGATTCATGTTTTGCATATCTACAAGGCAATAATGGCTATTTGGTCAAAATGATGGTACCGCTGATCCATTTCAGAACAAATATCAATACACTGTAAAAATTAATATGCTTTATTTAATCAATTAAAATGTGGCAAAAGATTACAAGCAATATTATTAATTAAATTGCACAAATAATAAATAAGTAATAATTAATCAAATTATTCCTTAAAAGTTAACCATTTAAAATGAGTAAAGTTTACCAAAAATATCTGAATAACAGAAGTCAAAGATTAATTAAGAACCCTTCATTTTAAATTGCCAACATTGAAGACATCTGATGTTAACAAGCAGAGTCACTGAAGGAGAAAACCGTCATTTTAAAACAAACCTAAAATACTAATCACCATAATGGTGACTTAAATGTACTTACATTTTTTTTAAGGTTTTCTCATTTTAAATAGTTAACTTTTAAGGAATTAATTAGATTAATTATTACTCAATTCTATTGTTAAATTGCATGAATGAATGAATAATATTGCTTGTAATCTGTAATCCACATTTTTTTTTTTTTGATTAGGTAAAGCGCATTCAATTTTAAAGAAGCCTGAAAGATACTGTGGTAAGCAGGGCGGGGCAGAGAGCCGTGGGAACGGAGCGAGGCCGGCGCCACGAGTGCTAATGAGCGGAAGGATAAAAGAAGGGGTGACAACAGACGACTCACTCCATTCCCACGGCTCTCGGCCCCACACTGCTTGCCACAGATATTAACATATTTCGTCCCATCCCTATTATACATCATAATCATTTAGGCGGTTCTCATATTCATTACAACATTTCTGTATTTTGACAGCTGAAACCATTGGGCAGTCTGTAGCAAAAGCCAAAAGTATCATTTACTGGCACTTCATAATTTCAATCGATTAAATGATGCAGTGCTGTGACTCAACGTTGGCTAATATACTTCAGACATGGATAATTGCGCAAAAAAGATGGACTGCTTTAACATTTTCAAGTAATGAAACTTTCTGGCGGTGGAGATATTCTTAAAGCAAATGATGTCTAATTAAACCCCAGCGTTAGGGACGGAGCAAGATGATAAAGCCCGAGCAGCTCTCTACTGTACTGCGGTAGTGGGTCCTACGCTCACTCTGTCCCAGTTCTGTTCCCTAGAGATAGATACAAAGATATGTGTTGAAGAATGACAGTACAGTCGGCAGCAGCTCAAGGCAGTGCCACTGACTCTCTGTAGTCTGAAGAAAAAAATCAGTCGATTTATGACCAGTCAAGCCTTTGTTATATGAATCAGACAGGGCAGGGTTCTCAAACCAAAAATAAATAGATGTGTGGGTGCATGGGTAGGCGCATACAGTATATATATATATATATATATATATATATATATATATATACACACACACACACACACATACACTGTATGTGTGTGTGTGTGTGTGTGTTCAACTAGGTTTCTGACATCTTCTAATAAAGCATTTCCATAAACTTTTCAGTTGTGATTACTGGATTTGCAAAACGTATATAAAATACATATACTATATATGCAAAACATGACAAATTCCAGCCGGCTGCCTGTGGATAACTAGAATTAGCCAGATTTTTAAACTAGAAAAGATTCTAAAAATCATTTGATTTGTTTTAAAGTATCATTATACATATACAGTTCAAGTTCATATACAGTTTAGGATGCAGGTAGAGCAGACAATATTGGATCAAAAACAGTGTACAAGACATGGACAGACTGCTGCTGAGGGTCAAAAGATTAGTGAAGGTGCGGTGATCTTAAGAGTTTGTTGTCAGCTATGAAATTCTGACATATTAAGTGTTTATTTCTTCCCACATCTTTTAACAACGAATTTCCAAAACCTAATTCTTTGCACCAATGCAACTTCTAACTGATCAACAGATTTTTTAATAGAACTAATTATACATAAATCTTTTAACCTAGAAAATATTATTAGCTCTATTAAAATGATTTGATTTATCTTCAAATATTTTAAAAATAGCTGGTGTTTGGTGTTGTGATGATTCGTCTGTGAAGAAAATTAGTCATTCTGTATATTAAAAGGCACAAGCAGTAGCTTAGTACAATGCAATTAGTGGTAATATGTTATAACAATTGAATAAAGCATCTGTTATGCATTCAGCTTAGTAATAAAGCTCTACAGTTAAGGTTATTCATTGATATTCTGCATAATGTATAATATGACTTAATCAGTCAATAGTGAGAGTGCACAGTTACTGTTAGTTTATTAATTTAAATCAGAAGGCTGAAATACGATACGTTTTACCTGTTTAGAGGTCTTCCAAGGTGAAAAGTGACCTGCAATGGTAAAAACAAACAAAACTTTTAGCCTGCCAGAGCTTTAATATGCAAATCAAAGTGGGATTTTTTTTAAAACAAAAAACAGTCCTGGATGACAACCTCATATTAGCATTTTAGTTTGTTTACTCCCGAGCTGTTCCTTCTGGGGTACAATCTGAGTGTGAGGATTGTATTTATTTTAGGCTAGCTAATATTAAAAGTTTTCTTTACTACAATGGGGTCCAAAAGATTTCTATTTTGTAACATTCTAAATTAATACAAAACGTTAATACAACTTTATGCAGCACGATTTGAGATTCATTTGAAGGAAGGCAATCTCTACTTTTATACAAAGATGTTCATTTTGCCAATTTGATGAGCGACCTAGAAATAATTCGGAACATATATTTAACATATATTTAAAAATTCCAAAACTTGTCTCAACAAATATCAAAGTCTAAAGTCCCTAAAGGTCCTGAAACACCAAGCTGATGGTTGGCAATCAGCCAATGTTGGGCCATCGTTGAGCATCTGTCAGCTTAGTTTTGTGGTGTGTTCCGTACCATCTGCACAAGTGTCAGCGGCTTTTTGTCAGATTGAGCATATTAAATCGCCATCCATCTGCGTCAGTGTTGTCAGAAAGATAGAGAACTCTGATTGGCACTCGGAAGTGATATTGAACTCGGAGTGATGAAATCGAGCCAAGAAGTCAAGACAGCACAGACAGAAGTTTGGGTAACACTTTACTTGAAGGGGTGTGCATAAGACTGACATGACACCTTCATAACCATGACATTACATATGTCTTGAATATGAAATAGGGTTTACGCATGTTTATGAAGTGTCTTTTGCTCAATAATGACATTTTGAATGCAAATGTGACATGGTTTATGATGTCTTTATGATATCTTGACATAAAGTAATACATCATAACCTGTCAGTGTTTTTGTCATGACAACTTGACATTAAATTAAGTCAAACTGTCATGTGGTTGGGTTTGACGTTGGCTGTCATGAGGCATTATAATTGTGTCATGAATATTTTACATGACCTCAACTACAGTGGTACTAATTGAATTTGTCATTAAAAAGTTATAATGGCTTCATGACAGCCAATGTCAAAACCAACCACCTGACAGTTTAATGTAATGTTAACCAATAAAGCTAGGTGCTTTCTTAAGTTTGATAATTAATCTGCTATGTCATGTTTGTGACAGGTTGTGTTGTCTTACTAATGTCAAGTCGTCATGACAAAGACACTGACAGGTTATGATGTATTGGTTTATGTCAAGGTGTCATAAAGACGTCTCAAACAATGTCATATTTGCATTAAAAATTGTCATAACTGAGCGAATGACACTTAATGACAGTTGTCACAAACATGCATACTGTAAAACTTCCTTCATATTCATAACATATGTCATGTCATGGGAGCATTCCATTATTTTCATAACAACATGAGCCGGCTGGAATGAAGAAAGTGATCATGATTGATATTCTAAATGGTAAGCAAGTGCTTTTTTCTGTCTGTTTATGGTTTGTATATCCAGGCCTAGTTTTGGGTTCCATTTTTGAATGACAAATATAGACCCCTGCTGATACAGACTGTACCTGCTAGTTGGCCGTAGGCTGTGGTGTGTTCAAGCTTAACTTTTTAGCCACAGATGCATGTGACGCCGCAGTCGGCTTTCGTTGCCACTAGTTCTTTGATGTTGTTTTGGTGTTTCAAGGCCTTAAAGAGCGTAAAATCAACTCTAACAGGATTAGTGTGGAATTAGAAAAAGAACAGTGCTTGAAATTGAAACAATTTAATATGTAATTAACTCTGAAGATACAATTCAAACAGGAGCTATTCAAATATCTATTCAATCTGAGGACAAGTGGGGAATATTTCATGTATCTAAGTAAAAGAGAGATTTAAGTGTAAAATATACAAGTTTGACCCTAAGGACTGTATTTGTTGATCCCTTTTTGATGACAAAAAATAAACACATTTTTTCCCCTGCTGCAATCAGTGAAAGGATGCCCAAATCCAATGATAGAAATATACTTAAAATGCACCGAACGGCATCTTCACATCACATCAAATGCTCACTTTCCCTCTGGAGGAAAAACATTGGCTGAGATGAGGCGAAAGGCCATGAGGCTTACGAACTCTAATCATAACAAACAGGAAGTACTGTCAGTCTAGAGCACCTCTCCTGGTATTAAGAGCTAAACAATACCCGCCGACATCAAACGGCAGATTCATGAATATTTTCTCTTTAAACTCCTAAATCGGCCTTGGAGTGCAAAAACAGTATGAATACACACACAGGCAGTCCAGTGTCTTGTATTCAACCTATGCCTGCCTCTCTGTCTTTCATGTCGTACCACAGATGACCTTCAGGAAGGAAAATTGCAAATGGCAGTGCAAATTACCTGTTTGGAATTAGCGAGAGAGACACACATTAGAACTGCAGGTAATCCAATTAAGCATTAAGTGTGTGGCTGTGAAAAAGGATAATTGCAAAATTATATTTTTTTCACACTTTTTTTCATTGTTAATATAATTATATATAGAAATAAAAATATTTTTTTGTAAATATTTATACACTCATAAAAAAAAAAAAAACAGCTTGTCACTGGGACAGTACCCTCAAACGGACATCTTTGAACCTTATTCACCCACAAAAGTTTTGTAGTGTCTGGACCAATCAGACACAAAATTATTAATTATAATTGAAAAACACAAATTATGGCCATCAAACATTTACTCTTTTTTATTAATCAATCAATCTATGAATGAACATGCATATCTTCAGTGCATTATGTGTATAATTAAAAGTCTTGTATAGTGTTTTTGTATTGTATAACGTTACATGTTTTATGATAGAACCACTAGATAATAACCTCTATACTATTTTTGGCATCTACAAATTAGTATTTTGATTATCTAAATAATTGTGTATATTATATGTTCACCTAGGCAGATTATTAGTATTACAAGAATATTTAATAGTTTGTCCCAGAGTCGGCACAGTCATGGTGTCAACTATTGCAACTTCCTTGACAAAGTCTGAGTCAGGCAATTTCTTTGTTCAACAGTGAAGAAATAGATTGCAACTTCAGCATCATCGGACCACTGAATCCTCAAGACATTGTCCTGAGACTGCATATCCGGACGCTCGTTCTACAGCTAAGGCATTGCAAGTATCGTACAGTTAATTGACTAAACAGAAGTTTAGTAAAAGTGGTAAAGCCCATGTTAACAAGGTTCTTTAAACTAAGAAACTGATGGTTAAATTACTCTTTTTCATAATTTCAGTTTCAGTTTCCAGTTTCATGCATTACCGACAAACTTTTGTATCCTTTTTTAATCAAGAACCATTTTTTCACTGTATCCACCAATTCGTAAATTGAATGTGTTTGGCTTCTGGTGTCTTTTGCTTTCAGTTATTTTTTAGCTGTACAAAACAGTTTGTTATGATGATTAATTTAGAAAACTGGTATTACCGTATTATTTAATAATGTGTTGTTGTAATTATAAACACACTGATTTGTAGTGCAAATAGTTTTATATATTTTTCTAGTTATCTCCCTATAGCGGCTAAAAAATAGGAAGTCTCACACATTCAAAAAAAAAAAAAAAAAAAAAAAAAGAAGCTTACTTGCGCATTGCAAAATAAGGTGGATAGGCTTCTTGAGTTGTCCCACGGCTCTGGAGATGAAAAACGTATTGATGTCAGGCTTGTCAAAATAGTGTGTTTGCTCTTTAAGGCCCCAGCTGGACTGTGATTGTGAATAAAATGCATTAGTGATTATGTTAAGATGACCTTTTAGTCAATCTTGGACTTCTAATGTGTAAAACATCAGGAAAATAAGTCAGAAATAATTTTTAGCTGTTTTTATTTGTATTTTTTTTTAATTCATGAAATGAATTGGTTGATTTTATTGCATTTATGATCAATGGGATTCGATCGCATTTAACACTGTTACTTTTTTTTATTATATAATTTTTTCTTCCATTCTGGGATTTCTAGTGCCATCTTGTTTTAAGGATTATATAATTTATACAAGAATACTTTCAAATAAATAAAACCTTCAAATAAATGATACCTGCAATAATTGAACCATTACTTATGTAATACTTATTATGTTTGTATAGTTTTCTAAATATACAGTGACTCAAAAATGACCATAAAATGATCACAATCAATTTTATTTGTGCTCAGTAAATTAAATCTTAACAATCCATATGATTGCCCAAATTCAATCTTTATCTTCTTTATCCTCAAAATCTTTATGTTCATTAGTAGCGACCGTAACATTCAAATCCCGCACTCATTACAAATTCAAAATTTGCCTTCATTTTTGGAATAAACTTGCCTATCACTTACTTTTTAAAACTGTATATATTGTAGAGGAAATTGTTAGGGTTAGGTTTAGAGATGAGAAGGATTTGTGACACAAAAATATTTATATAATTTTACATTGTTACGAAAATTCTTGATACTGTGCGGTGTCATTTTTCCAAAGTGTTTATGTTTAGTTTTGGAAATCTAACATACATGTCTATAAATACATTTAGATACGATTATATCTATACCTACACAAAATAAGCATTTCAATGTACAGTAAATTCCAATTTAACACTTTCTTTCTTTAAGCAACCTTTTACAACACAAGCACCACACAACCGACTGATTAAGAAGGGCGGCGTGTTGCTGTCGGGCTGGGCATGAGTCATCAAATAAGGAACGGAGAGGAAAGACGGGATTGTGCTTCATATGTGTATAGAGAAATGAATGAAGAATACAGATATCAAGCCTCATCAGTGGATATAAATCAAAAGACAATTATAAAAACAAACTTGCTAATAAATATTTTCTTAAAATGCAAAGCAACATCTTTTCCTGATGGCTATAGATCACAATAAAAGGACAACAACGTTCATATTTGAATTCGTAATGTAGTTTACATCACTTCACAAGACTTAATCAGCTCATGGATGCGGTTGTTAAAACACCCCCCCTCCCC